GTTTGGAGTCGGCAAGAACAAAGAAAATCTTGAAACCACATCCAGATGGAGCATCTGGATAATGAAAAGAACAACCCCTCCTCTAATAAGTTCTCATTTACCCAATCAACCCCATTTCCACGGATTTCAGCATCTCTGAGACTTAAACCAGTTCAACATCCCTATTCCGATCAAGATACTCGGGCGCAATGGATAATTTTCTATTCCAACGGCTTTTGCAGTCCCAAATCCTCATAAGCCTGAGTCATGGAAACCTAAATCCCCCGTTTCACATCCCAAGAAAACTCAAGTAGTTTTCTTAGCTTTTGTCCCTAGCTCAGGTAAACTAGAAGTTTCTTTTATATAATCTATCACTTCATTTTCGGTCAAGTACTTAGCTGATAATCATCGGAGAAATGGTTTTCCCTAAAACAAGAGACAACCTGACATGAGAAAATGAAAATCATTGTGAGTGTAAATGAAATGTTCTCTTAGACACGCCAAAACTGAAGCCCCTAAAACAATCCATTCCACAAACTTTCTCAGGTCCCAACATTGACAAAAAGTTAAACATGCTTCATAGAATAATCAGTTTATAAGAAATGTTAATGTCTTGAAAACCTGATAATAACAACTAAGATACTCTGCAAAAAATATCTTTAGACCATCATATTTCTTTTATACAATCCAGAAAGAATAAGTGAACATTACTAGTTACAATTGAAGGATAGCAAAATGCAATATAAGAAAGTCTTCAGCAACCACAGACCAACATAGAAAGAGCAAAGTCTGAGATAGAATCAAAGACAAACCAAGCAGGCAGCATTTCCAAATGGTGTTTTAAGAGACTATATATGGTCTAGGGAGATAATGAACTGATTTACCTGCTCAGGATCCACAAACAAGGAATGCAGAAAGATTGGAGTAAAACCAAGCCATGGACAAGCATAACTTTGTAGCTTAGCTGCTCAACCTCTGATACTCGGGATAATGATAACCTAATTTAGTCCCACAATATGCAGCCCAACACAATATCCTCAAGGTTCCAAAATCAAGAGCATGTATATGACATCGGATATGATTATATGAACATTAATTTGGGGACCTCCATCGTACTTGTTGCTCAGTGTGAAGCTCATTTGCATTGTTGTGGTGAATCCTGTATCTTGATGCCTTGGTGGATATATTCTTGTTAATCTTGACCACAAAGAATCAAGGAAATTAGTTGCTCTACTTGTAAAGAATTTGTTTCTTCAAATCCTCCCAATGTTTAGGCCCATCGGGATGGCGGTTTACATAGTGAGTCACAAAATGTTGGTCTGAGCACACAAGTAAACTGCTAATTGCCTTTACTTTGCCTTTCAGACACGGAATCATCCCTAATCTGAGCTTCATCCGCTGGAGAGTAAACACTAGACACGAAGGGAACGCCACAAAGGTCGAAAGCGGATAACCTAGTTCCTTGACAATGTAGTTAACCTTTGCTTCTAAGAGATCAGATGCTTGACATAGGATCTGAGGGAACGCGTTCACCATATATCTGACATCCTTCTCGTTTAGACCCAAACTCACAAGGAAATCAAATCTTTGTTGGAGTTCTGATCCTCTGCCACGGAATTTCTTGACAGCTCTCTCCATCTCCTTTGAATTCTCCTCATATCCGAGGTTCAACAAGAACTGTATCTTCATTAATCTTGACGTTTCCTCTTCCCCGTTACTAGGTAGTGGCTTGACCCTTAAACCCATAGTCCATTTTTTCATCTCCTCTGGGTTTTCTTGGATGATTTGACAAAGCCGACTAGTCCCAACATTCAATCTACTAAGTAAGGTTTTGGTTTTCTTCAAAGGACATGCACCAAGCCAAGAGGAGTGAACACGAAAAATCTTACCGATCTCATCACACTCCATCTTTATCTGGTTCAGGAACAAGAAGCAATGCCTTATATTCAAAACACATCTCTTGACCTGAATTTCCGGGAACTTATAGAAAAACGACCAGAGTTCACTTCTAGACGACCCAAGCTTCGTTTGAAACCCAGCTAGAAGCAATGTCCATTCCCCTGAATCCTCAAAAACAAGTCTTGGGCATCTCATGACTAGTCCACGTAGCTCATTCTCATTGAAACAGAGATCTCTAAGCAAGCTTAGAACCCTATGCATCGAGCTCCAATCATAGCATTCCTCCTCCTCTAACAAATTCTCATCTACCCAATCAACCCCAATCCCCATGGATTTCAAAATCTCTAAAACCTTAGCCACTTCAACATTCATATTCCCAATCAAGATTCTCGGGCTACAAACGATAATTTTCGACACAAACGATTTCGTCAATCCCAAATCCTCAAAAGCATGAATCTTGGAAGCTAAAACCCCGGTCTCATACCCGAAAACTTCTCTAGCTCCCCTAAAGATCCTCCCCATCTGCTTGAGGCCAATTCCATAGATCCAAAAAGTATTGTAATTCTCAAGCAAAAAAGCATCTTCATTCAAAAACATCTTATCACTGGGAAGTAGATGACTATACTCTGATGGTTTCAAACCTAAACTCTCGAAAAAAGGCTCAAATTCGTTTATGGGATGAAACCGTAGAAACCTGGTGATCGATCGAGCAATAT